CGTAACATTAAAACGCCCCCACAGCTAAAAGGGCGAGCATGTTCGGTGTGACGGAGATTCGAACCCGCAACCCGTAGACTGCGGGTCGAGCTCCCTAACCACCTGGCCATGCCGGGCCAGGTTGTCATGGTGTTGTTTTTAGTTTTTTTATCAGGACGAATACGAAATTAAATTTTAAAAGAATATTACTAATCTCTCTCCTCAAATCGCAACAAAATTCAATTGTTAGGTTAACATTTTGTTTTAATATATATTTTATGAATATTGATTTAGTTTAAGTAATAAAATATCTTGATTCGATTTTTTCCTTTCCCATTTTAAATTTTATTTGAAGAGTAGAAATAATTAGGCTTCCCATCTGAAGGTCGAATGTGTCCTAGAGGTAGTCATGCTCGGAATGTGAATCCGAAGGTGTATCATGTTCGCGTTCCACTGACACGCTAAAAAAGTAACTGTCAAATCTCACTATTCGGTCAGAAAAGAATTGCGGTGGTTGCTGTTGGCTAGCTGCCATCTCTCTGGTCTAAAGCTCAAAATTACGCAAGGTTTTGGGCAGATAATCCTTGTGTAGCTCAGAGCGGAAATTTGAAGTACTATAACAATATCCTGCCCGCACAGGTAATATAGCAATGTCCTGCTCGCACAGGTAATATAACAATATACTGCCCACACAGGTAATATAACAATATACTGCCCGCACAGGTAAAACTTTTCCGCATAAGAAACACATCAGTAAATCTTTGATCCTTGTAGAAGATTGTTAGTTGTTTCTTGTCCATTAGTATGTAAACAGCGGTTCTTTTTGAGTTGATGGTGTCAAAAAATAAATAAAAAATTAAACTAACTGCACTTAATTTTTAAAAATTAAAACTTCTGAAACTAATATAATGATAAAACTATCGACGCTGGGATTATTTTTCTTCTTACAATCTTTTAATCTGAAGTTCCTTGGACTGATTTAGTCCGGGAAAAGATATGGTTTAACATAGTTAAATCTGTAAATAAACATTTCTTTGCTGAAACCTAGCCAGCAACATGTGCTAAATCCAAATATCAAAAGTTGCTGGAAGTTTTCCTTCTGGCAATGTCATTAATCTGGGGATTAAGAACTTACTTTACTCCTTTGTAAAGAGGAATGGGTTTAGTAACTTTAGTAATTGTTTTTCTGAGAAGTAATGGATTTGAATAGAAGCAAAGTGCTTTAATATTATTCTGAATATTATTAATACTTAATATTTCACACTTAGGACACATACGTCAATTTAAATAGCGAGAGGTAATGAAATGAATTGAGTTCCCATTGCGAATTAAGGCTAAACTATACTTTTGATGTATATTCAATAATCCAAAGTCCCTGCAGCATAACATCCGCATTTCTGATAACAACGTACTCATACAATAAGGAGTTTTCAACTCAGATTTATTTGTGCAAAAAGTAAAAAAAACACAGACAAAACACAGCTTACTGCCCAAAGAAGGTTTTAAATCTCTATACTTCGCGGTCTCACGTTGTCGAGATTCTCACCTTTGAAACATGATTCTTGGCATTTGTCACCTACCAAGAAACACTTCGTGGTGTGTATGACTCAAGAACATCACTTCTTCATCCATGACCTCTTATATTTTCATCGAATCCCAGCAAGTATAAACTCGGTAGATTGGTCATGAAAGGCAAGAGTTTGCTTTTTTTCTCTCTCCAACCCCCGCCATGGGGACTCAGATAAAAATTATCGCCTTTACCAAATGATCACTTTTGGACCTGAAAGTACTCTCAATATGAATGATACTTAGCTGCATATGATGTTTGTTTGTTTGTTTTGAATTTTGCGCAAAACTACACGAGGGATATCTGCGCTAGCTGTCTCTAACTTAGCAACGAGAGACTAGAGGGAAGGCAGCTATTCATCACCACCAACCATCAACTCTTGGGCTATGCTTTT